CATCCAGATGAAGGACTCCCAGGCTTTGATCCCTGTGGATACAATTCCTTCCCAAGATGTTTGTGCTGGTTTTGTACGAGCCAGGAATGCACAACGGCAGCAGGAATTCAGACAAAATCCCGGAATTCCAGCTGTGGGTTGGGAATGCGGAGTTTTGGTGCTCCTGCTCACCGGAGGCTGTTCCTGCCCCACCATCCCGAGGCAGGGAATGTCCTTGAGCTCCGTGTGATTTCATGGATGGCAGAGCAGCCCCGATGTGCAATTTGTTCTTCCTGTGAGCGCTAACAAATCATAAATATGGAACAGCAGAGCCGGATCTGCACCAGATCGTTGTGCTGCGATTATCCAGGAGTTCTGGTTTGGAAGCGTTCATCCAAAAGGAATAATTTTGCAGGAGAGGTGGTTTGATCTGAGGTGATTCCCCAGCTGGTGGGGTAAGGTCAAACAGCCCTAAGGAACAGCGTGTCTGAACTTGATCCCTCACAAGAATCCCCTTGTCCCATCCCTGGAATGTCCAAGGCCAGGTTGGATGAGGCTTGGAGCAGCCTGGGACAGTGGAAGGTGTCCCTGCCATGACAGGGGTGGGATGGGATGAGCTTTAATGTCCTTTCCAACCCAAACCATTCTGGGATTCTCTGATTCTACACGACCCCAGAGCATTTCTCTCTGGCTCCTAAAAGATGCTTTCTATTCCCAAAACATGAAGCTTTTCCAGAGGCAGAATTCAGATATATCTGAATAATCCACGTGATTTTTGTGGCTTTTACAGAGCCTCTTTGGCTGGGTGGTGTGATGGGAAGGGAGTGATCATCTCCCACACATCCTCACTTCACTGGCGCTGCCGTGGACTCCTGGAAAAATCATTTCTCCACCGTATTATCCCTCTGGAAAGGGGATAGAACCTCACACCTGCCATCCCCCAAATGCCTTGGGACAGCCTCTGGATACGGCCCAGGAGCTGCAGGCCCTGCAGGACAGATCCCAGGGCTGGCAGCAGAGATGGGATTCCATCCTGCCTCTGAGTAATGACACCACAGCCAGGATTTTAAATCGCCTCGGCCTCTGTCTTAATATCCTGCCCTCATTAAGGGCTTTTAAAAACATTTGGTAAAGCTTTGCCCTCAGCTCCTGGAACTTGGAATAGCTGAGCTTTCGTTCTCATCCAAGGCTTAGCACCCAAGGACCTGTCAGTCAGGTGAGGGAGACTCTCTGGTGTCTCGAGCTGATTTTATGGATTTATGCAGTTCTCTCCCAGCGCTGGAGTCACAGACGGATTTGTAAATGCCAAAATAGAGATTATAAGAGCGTCAAGCTTCATTTTGTTTTCAGTTCACAGCTAATTAGCATTGATTTTCATGCCGTTGTTCCTGCATAGTATTCCACCGACATCACGGCACGGGAGAGGCTCGTTCTCACCCTGCCACCATCAATTTTAAACCCTCCTTGGAACAGAAGGACTTTGGGGTTTGGGTTTGGCAGCCAAAGCTCCGTCCCTTGGCAGGGTCTGAGCCACACGTGGCAGTCGAGCTCCTTGAAGCTGATTTTTCCCGAAGTGAGAATTCCCTGGGCAGGCAGTGCGGTCTGCGATTTGAAGTCCTTACGGGAAAGCAGCAGGAGCTCCTTTTCCAACATCTGCAGAACGTTAGGGATTGGGAATGATCCCTTCGCGGGCACTTGTGACCTCGCTGCTTCTCTGCTGTCAAACAGGCCAGCCCAGCTCAGGCATCTCACAAGGCAGAGGTGAGAAGAGAAATAATCTCTTTTTATCTGTTTAGAAGCTGAATTTGACATTGGAAGAGAGAACAAACGGGTCTGGGTTCAGGAGAATAGCGGCCCTAAACGAGGCCCTAAACAAGGCAGGGATGCTGGCCCCAAAGAGGTGCTCATTAAGGTGACAAAATCACTCCTGGGTTCTGGAACAACAACAAAAAATTAGAAATCAGGTGCGATCGTGGAGTTAATGCCCATCCTCACGTATTCCTGAGGGAGCCGCCACGAAGGAAACACGCATTTCCTAATCCGCAAATGTCTGACCTTAAACCTCGATAATGTTCTTTTAATGTGTGTTTAGCTGCACACCAGCAGCACAGAGGAGGGGTGGGATGTGTAAAATCCATGTTTTATGTATATTATTCAATATTTTCCATGGATGCTTTAGTGGTTGGCATTGCGGGGAGAGAGATCTGGAGACCAATTTTAGATTTAAATCATCGAGTAGTTATTCTGAAACTAAAAGCACTTGTTCTCAGCTGGTTTATTACAGTCATAGAAAGTGCTCAGGCAGATTATTTGCAAGGGGAGAAAAATGTATTTTGATATTCCCATGAAATCTTAGATGGGATCAGGAGTCATTACCACGCCAATCCCAAATTGTGAGTGTGTTATTAATATACACATCATGGTTTCTGGGATGGAAAGAGGAGAAACTGTGAAAGGCTCCGATCAGATCTGGAGAAAAATGGGGAATTTGAACGAAGCAAAGCACGAAACTCGGCCCTACAAATCAAAAATCCAGACTGCGTGTGAAAAATGCTGGTGGAAGCATCAACCCCTGCTGCGTTATCCCCGTAGTTATCCCTGAGATATGGGAAAAGGCATTAAACTTAAGGGTTTGACATGAATAATGGGTTTATGGGGATTAATGGATCTGGAGCAGCTTCCCCAAGGAATTCCAACAAGCTGGCGGCTTCCAAGGGTTGTCCTGAGTGCCCAAAGCACCCAAAATCCCTGGGGATGGGCTGGGTGATGTTGGCAGTGAACAAATGATGGAGAGATGGGATCACCGGGAGCTGCTGATGGAAGCTCTCTGCTGACGATGAGTAAGGGCTCCTTGTGCGTTAAAGTTTCCACATTCCAAGCATAGCTGGATGCAGGCGGATTTTCCACGGGAGCTGTGTGAGGGAGATGTCTCCTCCAGGACCCGGAGGAGACCAGTTCCTCCTCTGAGGAATCCCAAAACAGCAAGGAACGGGCAGCATCAGCACAGGCTTTGCTCCATCTTGTGTCCATCTGTGCGGAGGTGCCCGATGGATTGATCAGGAGCAGATGTTCACACCCAGCTCCCACTTAGGATGAACAAAGAGCTCTTTCAACCCCATCTTCTCTCCTTAGGTCCAATGTATTCCTCGGCTGGTGCGTTGGACTCCCAAAGAACCGGAGCTGAAACTCCAGAGCTCGATCCCACCTTCCTCTGCCCATGAGGCTGCCTCGTGATCCAGTGTGGAGCACAGGGAAAGGCAGAAAAATCAGGATTTTCTGCCCTTTGGAGAACACCTGAGAGCATTTACATAATTTTATTTTTCCAGATTTATCTCCTATTCCAATATTGAACAAAAGGGGGAAACTCAGCTTCCTGTGAGCATTAATTTTCTTCATTGCTTATTCCTCCCATTCCACCATTTTTCTAAAGGGCTGGTGGACAGCAGGGATGGATGGAGACTGCAGAGGAGCAGCTTTTAATTTAAAAACATAAAAAAGAGATGGAAATCTGTCTGCTCCAGGGCTTTACAAATAAAGCACACAGAGCAAATTTTAGTGCTTTGCACGTTGTTTCCAAACAGAAACCAATTCTTGGGAAATGAGTAATTTGACCAGTGAAAGACGTGACGTGTCGGAACAAACCCCAAAAATATCAGCACTGAATTTTGAAATGTCATGTTTGGGATTCTCTCATGTGAGTCAGGGCAGCATCTCCCCATGGTCAAACAGGCACGAGCCAACATCCTTTTTCCAGGATGTTGTTTTAAAACTTGATGAATTGCTCACGTTTCAGCCCAGAACTGACGCGGCGCGGGTTCGTGACCCGGATGACTCAAGAGATAAGGCCAAGGCCGCACCTTCAGGGAGGCCACCCCTGTGTCCGGCTGCTCCAGGCAAAGCCAGGAAGGGAGGTTGGAGGCAGGAGGAGAGGCAGGCTCTGCTCCAGCCCCTTTTCCAGGGATCCGGCTGCCGCATGGAGCCGTATGGGAAAGGAGAGGAGCTCTTGAGGGAGATGAGCGCTACAAGCGGCTCACAAACCATCCCTTGTTCAGAGCTCTCCTTTCAGGAGCGATGCTCAACCCTCTGCTGAACCTCAGCCAGATTTGCTTGGGGTTGTGTCCAGGAAGAGAAAAAATAGGAGGATGCTGATGGTTGGGAGGCACTGATCTCTGCTCTCTGGGACTGGGACGGGACCGAGGGAACGGCTGGAGCTGTGTCCAGGCATGTCCAGGGTGGCTGTCACGGCAAGGTTCTTCCCCCAGAGGTACCCCAGGGAATGGGCACATTCCCAAGGCTGCCAGAGCTCCAGGAGCGTTTGGACAGCACTGCCAGGGATGCCCAGGGTGGGATTTTGGGGTGTCTGAGCAGGGCCAGGAGTTGGATGCATGATCCGTGTGGTACCTTCCCACTCAGAGTATTCCACGATTCTGTATTCCTGTGATGTGCCGACACACTCCTTGTGACCAGGCTTTGAGGGAAAAGCCCCTTTTCCCACCATCACAAGCACCATCCCTTCTCATCTCTCCTCATCCCTTCTCATCTCTCCTCATCCCTTCTCAGCTCTCCTCATCCTTTTTCAGCCCTGACTTTTCATCCCTCTCATCCCCTGCTCTCCTCAGCTCTCCCCAGCATCCCTCATCCCAGCCCGAGGCACTGGGCACCCCCTGAGGGACCCTAGACCACCTCTGGAGGCCGCACAGCCCCAGATCCCGCGGTTCCCCTTCACACCGCTGACATTTACAGATAAAATCCATCAATAAACACCACAACCTCCTCCTTTATCGCCCTCATCGCTCTGAGGGCGCCGGGCCCCCCCTCGATGCCCCCCTCCCCCCGCTCCCGGCGCCCCCCGCCTCCCCTAGGGGGCGCACTGCCCCGGCGGCGCGCCGCGAGGGGGCGCGGCCCGAGCGGCGGCGGGCGGTGATTGGCGGGCGCGAGGCTATAAATAGAGGCGGGCGGCGGGGGGACAAAGCAGTGAGCGCGGGACCGGCGGGCGGGCGGGCGGCGGCGGGGTCCGCGGCTCTGCCTCTTCCCACCGTAGCGGCTCTCTTGTGTTCTTCACATTTATTTTTGCGTTTTCGCGAGGAACCCGGGTGTGGTTTGTTTCTTGGCTGGGTTTTTTTTTTTTTTTTTTTCTTGTTTTTTTTTTTTTTTTTCCTCCCGTTCTGCTGTGACCGGCCGGAGGGATTAAGGGGAGATCAATGAAGGAAAGAAGAGCGAGCCAGAAGTTATCGAGCAAGGCGGTGATGGATCCCAACCAGAACGTGAAGTGCAAGATCGTGGTGGTGGGGGACAGCCAGTGCGGGAAGACGGCGTTGCTCCACGTCTTTGCCAAGGACTGCTTCCCCGAGGTGAGGGGATGGGAGCGGGCTCGGCCCGGGGGTCGCGGCCGGGGGGGCGGCGATGGGCTCGGGCTGACCGTGCCGTGTCTCCCGGCAGAGCTACGTCCCCACCGTGTTCGAGAACTACACGGCCAGTTTCGAGATCGACACGCAGCGCATCGAGCTCAGCCTCTGGGACACCTCGGGTGAGCGCTCCCGTTCTCATCCCGGGAATTCGGGGGGTGGGAACCGGGAGGATCCTGGCCGGGCTCCGCATGCGGCTGCTTCTGAAGGCTTTCTGACAAAAATCTCGGCTATCCTTGAAGGATCTCCTTGGCTGAGGGTGTGGGCAAGGCTCCGGGAAGCGGTTTGTCAGCATTGCAGGGGAATGCGTTCTCACCTGCCTGGCTGGAAGGAGCTTTGTGAGGAGCTCCGGGGGTACCTCGGCTCCTCTGCCGCCTGCAGAGCTCCCTTTGCCTTGTAGGAGAAGGAAAAAGGTGTTCATGTGCTGATGGTGAATTATTTCAGAGCTCCTTAACGCCTCTTCGGTTTTTTTTACAAAACACAGCACTTTTCTTCCCAGTGTTTTAGAGAGTCTTTGAGGCCCGGAGCGGCTTTTAGGGAAAACCTTTAGAATTTATCTCTGATTCTCTGGTGTGCAGAGGGAACCATCCTTTCCCCCATCAGGGCTGAAGGTCGTCTTCATCCTTCCAGTTTTACCTGGAAGAAACCGGCTCAGACGCCTCAAAGGTTGAGGGCTTTGGTGTTTGGCTGGCTCTGCTCACATGTTGAGACAGGAGCTCCTCTAGATCCGCCTGTCGTTGATAATTTGGATAATTGGGCTGCACTTACAGCCAGGGGGGTGAGGGAGCACCTCAAAATTGCTGCCTCAGTGCTGGAGAGGAGAATGGGGAGCCAGTGTGGCTCTGCCCGTGGAGAACTGAGGATTTCCATGGGGGGAATGACACCAGGAACCATTACCAGAGGTGTGGATCAACATCATCTGCAGAGCTGATTGGAAAAGAAAAAAAAAAAAGCCTGCAGGAACTTGGCAGAACGCGCAGTCCTTCTCTTTCTATGTGTAGATGGCTCGTTAATGCCGAATTTGGACCTGACAGTTTCTCCTCAGTGCGACAGCAGCTCTTTTACCAGGAATGAAAATGTTAATCCCCGATTTAAAAGAGGAGTTTAGGCGGCGGGTTGGCTTCCCTCTTGCTGTTGAGGAAATGATTCCAAATTCTTGCAACACGATTACTGGGAAAAGGCAGCCTCTGCCCACAACCAGTATCAGCTTTGCTCTGAGCTGATTTTTTTTACTTCATCTTATGCCAAGTGAGACTTGCAGATTTCTGGAGTATGTCTGGTTGGAGCTTTCATGCTGATTATTACTAAGCTGGCTTGGAACTGTGGAGCAAGGGCTTATTATAAATTAATAGTTATTTTGGAAAATGTTATCTTTATTAAAATACAGCACACACGCAGTCTGGACATGGGGAAGGTTTGGAATCTGTTTGTCAAAGGCTGGAGACACCCATGGAGTGAAGTATTCCCTAGCACTTCAAAAGACAAAAGCAGTGGAAGAAAAAACACCTGCCAGCCTTTGTCCTCTGTCCTGGAACTCAGAGAAAATGTGGCTGAGTCACAAGCTTGAGATGAAGTGGGTGATTTGTCTGACATCCCAAACTGAAGAGGAAGTATTTGAAAGATCCAGTGCTTGCTTTTACAGAGTGTTACTGAGTGGATCCTTTGGCTTTGGGAATCTGGATGAGGAATTTTGGCTCCATGAACATCCCTTCTCACCCACTGCAAAAAAACCAGCACTGCCCAAGCCCATTAACTCAGAACAAAATCACATCAGCAGATAAGAGACAGCAGAAGATAAGGGAGTGCTTTAGCCTTATCTGAAAGTCTTGGTAATTTAATTTTTACAAGTCTTTGTCCTGGTCCTCTGCTGAATTAGAAGAGATGTCTGAATGGCATTTTGAAAGCAGGACTAAATCTAATTAACTTAAAAAGATGACCGATCATTGCAACACGGGGGAGGTGGTGGCTGCACTTCATGTGGTGCTTGAATGTCTTGGGAGGGGGGAAAAGATGCTGTTTAATTGAGTTTATTGCTATATGCTGCAGATACTTCCAAGATTACTCAAGCAGTATTTTGTCTTCCTCTTTAACTCTTTTTTAACTGGGAGCATTTAACAGCCTTGCCAATTAATCCCTTGAATTAAAATTGATAATTGGGTTTTGCAGCGAATCCTTTGGAAGGATGTATTGTTACTTCCAACTCTTTTTTTTTTTTCTTTTTTTTTCGCACTGGGAAAATCAGAAAAGCTGTGGGCTTTGGTTAAAATCGTTGTGTTAGGGTGAGAAGAGGCCCTGCTGCCACAGTTTTCGTTTATAGTTCTTTATATGCCAACAATAATAACGTGTTTTTATTCGAGAGCTTTCAGGTGTCGTGCAACTGATTTTAAATCAGTTTAAAATTGAATTTAAAATTTTAAATTCATTGGGGAGTTGTTGTTGCATCTTGGATTTGCCCACAGGAATATGGGACAAGTAAGAGTGGAATGGAACGGGGAGATTCATTATTCAAATGTTTGCTGGTGCTGTCTAGTTCTGCAAGTCATTAGAAGGATTTAAATTAGCCACAGCATTAAGGGAAGCACTTGCCAAGTTGAATTTCAATGGGGTTTGGGACTAGCAGCCCTCTCTCAAAGCAGGAATGTCTGGTTGCAATCTCACTACACCATAAATTACTCTGCTCTGTGGTTACATGTGGCAGTCTTGAGCTGTTTGGGAACTCTGCTTGTTGTGTGAGGTGGAATATTAAAAGTTTCTCCAGGTTAAAGCTTCATCTTGGACTTTCAAGGCCACTGCAAAGGGAAAAATATCAGTATTAGTTGCCTTTATCTACCATCTAATCTGCATTTATCAAGTTTTTTGGCTCTTTTGATATGTATATTTCTCTTTAGGACAACAGCAGCTGTGGATTAGAAATACCATTAATTAGGTGCACATACCTCTGTCTCCCTAAAATGTATTTTAGGGGGTTTCTTTATTGCTTGAACCATGGCTACCCCCATAAAATAATTCTCAACAGGGCCAGAAATACTTACAACTGCTGGGGATTAGCAAGTAATTAAATCCAGAAGGGCCTTGGAGCTGGGAGTCAAGTTAGTTTTGCCCTGATTTTTGTCTCTATACAATGTACTCAGTGTCCATATAGAAACAGAAATCAATTGGAAAGTTTAGTGCTGAAACCTTTCAGGAGAAAGCTGAAACTTGGGGGAATTGCACGTTGTTAATTCCCCAAATTCCCTGGCAGTAAGGATTGTGAAGGAAAAGTCTGATTGCTGTCTTTGCCTCCTGCTTCTCTTGCAGCTTGGAATTCTATGACTTTCTGGTTTTAATTTCCAATCTTCACAGGGTTTTCTTATTACTTTTACAAGGGAATTAATTAGAATTGATACCTGGGAATGCCAAGTGCCCTCCCAAAGTTTTCCCTTGGAGGTGTGATCACACAAAAAGCTGGGAATATTTTGATATTTCTGTCAGCCATCCCAGGGTTTTTTTTAATTTTTTTTCCCTTTTGGAAGGAGGAAAACCATCAGCACTGAATCAGCTCCTTGGAGCAGGCAGTGTTTGCTGTGTTTTCTGTGATAATTAGTGAGCCCAAGGGTTTGGGAATGAGAATGCTGCTGTTCATCTGTTGTTCTTTCACTTGACTGGGCTCCAAAAGGTTCCAAAGCCTAATTCCTGGTGGCTGCTTGCTGGTGTGGAAATGGGAAAGTCTTGCCTGTTACTGAGCCCTCCTGGCCTCAGGATGTGGAGCTGAACCCTCATGGTGCCTTTGGATCTTCCAGCCAAACACCTCTCCCTGATCCAGCGCCTTCAAGTAGTGCTAAACCACCCAAAAAATTAAATTTTCTTCAGTTTTTAATGATGTAATTCCATTCTTTATTAAGATAGCAATATTTAAACCTAAGCTTGGCATCCCCTGTAGGCCAAACCCAACCATATTGCTGGGGAGGGGTTTTATTTCAGTCTAAAAGCTGAATTTCTGTTGGACTCTGCGTGAAACATAAGGTTTCAAAAGCAGATCATCCTTAATGTTGCAAGTATTTTTGGCTGAAATTATTGAAGCTGCCAAACAAATTAAAAAAAAAAAAAAGGAGGATTGCAGCTGGAATAAATGTCCAGCAGAAAGGAAAATGAACTACAGCCTTATCAGCAACTCCTAGATAAAGCTGAAAAACCACCCATGTTGTCCTAGCCAAAAATGTTTTATTTTGCAGGAACAGAATCCCAAACACAAATAGGCTTTTTTTTTTTTGCTTTTTTTTTTTTCTCCCCACAAATACCATGGCTCCAGTTCCACATTCTCCTTCTGTTTTCGAGGGTTGGCACAGCTTCAAATCTGCAAAGGAACATGAAAAAAGAGGGAGCAGCAGCCTGGAGTTGTCTGTTGAGACTTGAGCGAGCCTCATTCCTGACATTCCTGCCTTCTGAGGGTTTCTCTGGGCAAAGGGATGAAAATGCCAGCTTGAATAGGCCTGCACAGCGAGGGCTGCAGCCCCTCTTTATTTGCACAGGAATAAAGGTTTGGTTATAAATGAGAGCAGGAAATTTCCTTTGTGGATCCTGCAGCTCGAGGACTTGAAATGGGCTCTGTTTGTTCTGCCACACACCAGCCTGGAGAAAAGCTGGGGAATATCCCTCCTAAGCTTGCTACAAGTGCTTCTATTCCAGCTCAGTGCCTGAAATAGGAGAAATTCAGAGTTGGGGGGGAAAGAAAAAGCTTCCAAGCAAAGCAGCTCCAGCTGCTGGGCTGGGAAGGAGTCTCGGGGCTGGAGGTGGGGACTCGGTGTGTACATAAATACATCTCCTGGACATATATGGGATCCCTGGAGCTGCTGAGTGAGCCCATAGGTATTTGTGTGAGGAATGAGTTTCTGGGTGAGGCTTTGCTGAGACTCCTTTCTAGCCAGCAAGCATTAAGGATTCCCTCAGTCCTGCTCTTCTTGCTTGCTGGAGCTCATGGAGATGTGGTTTTTGTGTCACCTGGGTGGCTCTTGGTGGCACTTGGTGCTGCAGTTCCTCTGTCCAGGAGAAATAACCCAGCCCTGGGGCTGCAGGATAAATAACCCAGCCCTGGGGCTGCAGGACAGGGCTGTAATAGCAGTGCTGGAGATAGTGGGGTGTAATTAGCAGGGGAAAACGCTTATTGATAGCTGCACTGAGTGGTTGAGTGCGGGTCACCTCGTTGAGGTTTGTGTCATTCGTGCTGAATTCAGCTGAAGTGGGGTGTGAAGAGCCTTTGCTGACAGCTGCCTCTGTCAGATTGACATCATTTACAGAGATGAGCGTTCAAATTAAATCCTTCTCGTTCACCAAATTACCTTCTGCTACCTACTTTGGTAATGCTTCACTCCCCATGTGTTATTCCTCATTTCAAAAACAACATTCCTGGGATTCTTGCCTCCTTCCCCGAGTGAAGTCATCTGCGAGCCCTTCACACCATTCCCAGCTCGCCTTGTGCGACAGCCTGAGCTGTCTGTCAGGGAAAAACTGCAGGAATTCCTCTAATCCCGTTAATAATCAGAGACCTTCCAGCCAATTAGTTCTGGAGAGCTGGGAAATTGCTGGGATAATGAGCTGATAACCCCCCCCCCCAAACTCCTGGAAATTGGGTTCTTGTGGTGGGTGCTCCATGCTGTGTTTTAGGGTCTGCTGGATTTTAGGATTTCTAAAAGGAAAATAAGGATGTGTGATGGCTGAGAAAATGAACTTTCAGTTGCCCAAGCCCAGGCCCTTGCCCTGCTGGGCCACTAAACTGGTTTAAATGTCCTTTTAAATACATTAAGAAATGTATTTTCCTCAGGAAGTGAAGCTCAGCACAGTTAAGGCCAAACCTAATGGTGATTGAGTGATTGCAACTTCTTAGAAAAAACTAAGCTTTTTTTCTGGCTTTTTTTCCCCCCAGCATGTCGCCAAATTCACCAGATGATTAAAATGTGATTTTTAACTCTTCACATGATGATTGTTGTTAAGGAAAGCAGAAAATCCCTTCACAGGCCTGCAAGTAAAACAAGCACAAAGTACTGTACCTACATCTGTTCCCCCAGATTACTAAATTAGCTTTGATCTTGTTGATAAAAATCTGGTTTATGGGCTAAACATAAACATTTATTGCAAGCTTTATTGGTTTACAGATTAATGAGGCTTTTTGTGACAGATAACTTGCATGCCTGCCTACAGGACTGGGATTTTTCCCTGCTGGAAATCTGTTTCCTGCAACAAGTTCTTTAATTTGAAGCAAGAGTTTCATCTAAACATTGCCAATGTGACAGCTAAAGATGCTATTTGCACTTGGAGCTATTTGTTTTAAATTAACTGTTAGGCAAATCAAAACTGAGGAATTTCAAAGCTGCTTTAGGAAAAAAGCCTTTTTGGAGTTCCAAGGATTTGTTCCCCCTGCAGGTTAATGCTGGGACTTAAACTTGGGCTGGCCCCGTTTCCCTCTCTTTGGGAGCATCCCCAGCTTTTGGTGGGTGATGGATCACTGTGGGGGCATCCCTGGAAGCCTCTCCAGGCTTTCTGAATGACTGCAGGAAGAGGAAAACAGCAATTAATGAAGATGTTGTTTGTTTTCCCTGCAGGGTCTCCTTATTACGACAACGTCCGCCCGCTCTCCTACCCAGACTCCGATGCTGTCCTGATCTGCTTTGACATCAGTCGGCCAGAAACCCTGGATAGTGTCCTAAAAAAGGCAAGTGTTTGAGCAAGCCCTGAGCACAGAACTTTGCTCATCTTTAAATCCCTGCAGTGGTGCTGTTCCTACTCTGGAAACTTCCACTTTGGTTTTTTTTTTAATGGAGCGGTGACAGGAGGGTGCTTTAATTTGAGGTCATTTGTTTGAAAAGGGCTGGATGTTAATTGGAAACAAAAACTTGCTAATGGACACTTGGAGCTGATGTGAAATTCTCATTCCTCAGCCCTGAGACAGCAAGGAATTGTGTCCTTGCTTTGAGGGTGGTGTGAGGTGCTGTAAGAAATTGTCTCTCACATGTTCCTGTAACAGGATTGGGAAACTTTGCTGGGTTGTAGGGATGGCTTAAAATTGTCCTGCCAAGTGTTTGGACTTCTGCCACAGCCTTACATAATTTGTGAGCCAGTGACAAATGCCTCTGGAAGGCACCAGCAGAGCTTGCAGTGGCACAGAAATGCAGCCCTGCCCCAAACCCTTCATGAGATCACTGATCCGAGCTTGTGTCAGACTTCCCATGAACTCAGACACGGAATTTTCATAATCAAGTTCCGTTTGCAGGGTGGTCTTAGTCCCCTCCTTGGCTGCTGAGCATGACTCAACTTCACAGTGGTTTTGGGGCTTAGTGACCTGAAGTTCCTTTTCATTTTTCCTGAGGCTGGGGCCAGTGATTCTTGTCTCACTGGGATAAAATGCCTTACAATGCTCTGAATAGCCTACAAAATATACTTCAAAACTACTCCCTCTGTGTCAGAAAGCAGCCAGAACTGTGGTTTTTCTGTCCCTGCTCATGCTGGTTACTTAATTCTACAAGAGATTTTTGGTAGTATGCTTTTAAACCCTAATTACAGCCTTCAGTTTTAGGGAGTATCATCTGTGTGGATTATGCTGTGAAGTTTTTGGCTTTGAGTTCTCAACATAACCTTGTTTCACCTTGGGTGAAACCCAATGAATTTATCCCAAGTTCAGCGTGAAGGGCTCGTTGCTGGTTCCCCTGGGACAGATTTGTGTAGTTTCAGGTGTGAGAAGGCAGCAGTGAACCCGCATTTAGCCCTGCTGGTGTTGTTGTGGTTGTACCAGAGCTGCCTCTGGAGGTGGAGACACCATCCCTGCACCTGGCTGGGGCTGGGTGTGAGAAACAACAGCTCTGCAAACCTTTGCTCATGTGGGTAAACAATCTCAACTCATTCCCTCCTGATTAGTAAGCCAGTGGAATTCATGAGTGTGTGAGATAGGAAGATTTCATCCTTGACCAAGTTCTGCTGGAGCCGGTGCCTTCCAGAAAATTACCTTGAGGGCAAACCCAGCCATTACATAAAAACACTTCAGCGTGGGATGTCAGGACTGATGAAACTTGTACCCCTTGCTTCTTTGGATTTAAACATGAACAACTTCCCAATTTTCCAGTGGAAAGGGGAAATCCAGGAGTTCTGCCCCAACACCAAGATGCTTCTGGTGGGCTGCAAGTCGGACCTGCGCACCGATGTCAGCACGCTGGTGGAGCTCTCCAACCACAGGCAGACCCCCGTGTCCTACGACCAGGTAGGGGCCAGATCCCTTTTTGTCCTTCAGGAGGGAAGAAAAACCCCTTTTTCTGTCACTGGAGCCCTCACTGTGACCAGCTTCTCCCTCCTGGTGACACCAGCCTGGCCTGAAAGGCAGATTGGCACCTGTGGTGCGGGTGGAGGTGGGTTTGAAAATGATTTAGGACTAAAGGAAATCCTGCAGCCCCACAACATGTCATAAAATCATCCCTTTAAACATCGTAAGTTGTTGTCTTTTTGCTTGCAAATTGCTTTTTTTTAGGTGAGTTGTTCAAAAACTTCCTGCTTTTTGGTGCCTGCACACACCAAAAATGTAGCTAAAAGGTGGCACATCCTGTTTATTCACTGACAAATCGGTAAAATTGCTGGCTGCAGACTTCAGATTTGAATGTTGTTTGACTTTAGAATCCTGACATTATATTGGAATATCACCTGTCCCCAATGCCTTAAAAAAACACCTCATCCCTCCTTCTGAAGGTGCAGCAAAGCCAGAAGGCATCTGAATTCTTGATGAGTTCTTTGCTCCTGGGGAAGGGAGAAGCTTGGAGGCAGGAGAGAGAGAAAGGGAAAGGAATCAGGTCATGGGAGAGAGCAGGATGTGGGGAGCAGGGAAGCTTGCCTTTATTACTCACATGTGTGTGATCATTCGTGGCAGCTGAATCACGCTGCTGGTGGCAGATCCACCCTGTGGCAGGGACAGTGGCACCTCCACCTCACCTCAGTGTCCTCAGCAGACACTTTGGGGTGCTTTATCCCTCAGCTTTTCCAAACCAGCAGCTCCTGATGTGGGAGGGGTTACTAAGGGTCCAGCATTTTGGAAAATGGCAGGACTTGAGTTAAATCAAGTCTTTTCCCATGAAAGTGACCAAAAATCTGCTGGCAGGTGGATTTTTTTTTTTAAATTTATATTTTTCTCCCTGGATTCGCAGCTCAGCCTGTAGCCTTGAGGAGCAGGAGGTGGAATCAGAGCTTTCCCGTTGCTCTGAGCTCCAGCAGGGAGGGCCAGGACAGGCTGGTGACCCCGTGCTGCAGCCTCCCAGTTGATGAGCAAACACTGCTGAGGCTCAGCTCAGCAGGGCTGAGATGTTGAGCTGTGGGGAGAGCTCTCAGGAGCTCCTGCTGCCTTATCAGCCTCTCCCCGTTGCTGCATCACTGCAGGGCAAACAGGAGCTGATGCCCAGGAGGGGCTGGAGGCAGGCACAGGGTGTGGGAGGAGTGGCACATCAAGGATGTGTGGTTGGATTTCGTAACTTTGTCAAGATTCATCCCTCAGAAATCAAAATTCCTTTGGAACAGCTCCCCTTTCTGCACATAATGCTGCATTGTGTTCCAGGAGCGAAATCCACCACGGGACACTGGGCTATTGTCATCTGTCACATGTTGGGCTGTTTGCTTTGTGGTGCAGGAACAAATATCCCTGCTTTGACTTCTTAAAATCACAAAAGAAGAGCTCCTATAACCCCCAAATGCTCTTTTTTCCCTTTTTTTTCATTTCCCTAAGAACTTTGCCCTCTTCCTGGAGCTGTAACAGGGACTCTGCTCCAGCTGCTTGTTCCTTTAGGCACAGAATTTCTCTTTGGAGATTTCGGGCTGGAAGCTGCCACATTTTCCAGGAAATTCCCAGGTTCAAGTCAGGGTGAAACTGCTGGAAATGCCTCGCTCAGACACTTCAGCTTTTTGCAGTTACTCATTTGCAGTCACTGAGCTGCTCTTCTCTCCCAATTTGTGTTTATCAGCGCAGCAGATAAGGCTTGGACACTTGTTTAAATCCGTTTATTTTCCAAAATCAGCCGTTGGAGCTTTGTGTTTTCCAGGGAAACAGCGCAGAGCTGGAATGGTGAGGATTGCTGGAGATTTTGCACAACTCTGTATTGATCACATGTTCCTTTTTTCCCCTCAGGGTGCAAATATGGCCAAACAGATTGGAGCAGCCACATACATCGAATGCTCAGCCTTACAGTCAGAAAACAGTGTCAGAGACATTTTTCACGTCGCCACCCTGGCGTGTGTGAACAAAACAAACAAAAATGTGAAACGAAACAAATCTCAGAGGGCCACAAAGCGAATTTCACACATGCCTGGCAGGCCAGAACTGTCCACAGTGGCCACGGACTTGAGAAAGGACAAAGCAAAGAGCTGCACGGTGATGTGAAGGAGCTGGGATTTCCTGGAGGAGGAGGAGGAGGAGGAAGATGATCCAGGAGGGATTGGAGCTCAATGAAGTCACAGCCACAGGGTGTTTAATGAGGGCTTTGCCAGTGCTTTCATGGAGACTTCTCCTGTTGTGTGAGACTGTACTAAAGGACTGAGCAGCAGGAAGAAAAGGCTCTGAGAGAGGTGGCATCAGGAATTTCTGTTGAAGACAATGCCAAAAAAAAAAAATAATAATAAAAGGGAAAATGTTTGAATGTGCTGAGAGAATGATTGGGAAAATAACCCTGCAAAGGAGAGATGTCATGGACAGTGCTCGTTTCTTTTAGCAACGCTCTGCTCCTGGATGCTGCCACTTTGATTTCATTCAAATAATACTTTAATGGGATTTTTTTTTTTGTAATGAAGACATTATTAATACACCCTTCTCATTAAGGAACTATCCCCGTGACCTTAGAGTTGGTTTTCCAAAGGATTTGATCTCATTTTTTTTTTAGTAGCTGATTGTGAAAACGGAGAGGATACCGAGTGTCACTTAGAGGAAAACTTTGGAGCAGTCTGTGGAGTTTTGCCCTCCTGATCCGCGGTGGGGATGAAGACGGCTGTTTGAGGATTCCCAGAATTGCCGTGGAAATGAGCTGGATGGAATCTGGGGGGCAGGGGAGCGTGGGGGGCCAGAGCAGCCCCTGCAGGGCTGTGAGTCGGCTGTTCCTCTCCGTGGTTGTGATGTGGAAGTGGTGCCCAGTGCTGGTGTTGTGTGTGGGTTCAGCTGGGAGGTGCTGAGAGCTGTGATGGCAAATGATCCGTACTTTCCTTTAAGCCTTACTTGCCCACCTGGGGAAGCCCCCCAAAAGAAACCCCCCCCCCACTTTGGGCTTCTCCCAGGAGCTGGAGAGCCCACGGATCCCGCAGGAAACGCTTTGCTGGGATGTGTGGTTGACAAAAACCAACAAAACAAAAATACCCCTCCAAAAGCTGCGAATGAGCCTTCTGTCACCCTCCTGATTTCAGGGAGGAAAACGGGCTCTGAAGAACTGTGAGGCCTTAAAGGGGTCCCCAGTGGGAACTGGATGCTGCCCTTAGTTTTAGGATTAACACAAAAGTATCCAGCCCCCAATCCTGAAATGGGGTGAACTGCTTCAGTCCAATCCCTTTTTCTTGCTGTTGTTACACTGAATTAAATCAGCCTTTTTCCAATGGTTTGTGACTCTTCCTGACCCACCAAACTTCTCCCAAAGGAAGGAGACAAAGCTCTGAGCAGGCTGGTTTTTGCTTGTGGAGGACAAGCATTTCATTCCCAAATGGTGATGCTTCATTTTTGAAGTGTTTAAAAAGCTCTGTTCACTCGTGCAAAAGGTAAAGATGAACTCATAATTAAATCTCAGTTCTGTGTGTTCCCAGCACTTTGTTTCATCTGAGAAGAGAAGACAAATCTCATTCCCCATTCTGGTTATTTCCCACAAAAAAAAAAAAAAAAAGAGAGAAAAAAAAAAAGACATTTTTGACCACCATAATAAGCTTTTAACTGATGCAACAGTGCTCTTAGGGCAGTATTACAAAATAGCTGGTAAGTGCTTCTTTCTGTATTTAAATATTGTGGAAAAAATAAGTTATAACTGTTATAAAGCAGGACATTCATTACTTTTGGTTTTTTTTTTTTAAATTGTTGAAGTCACTTTGTATGTTTGGTTAATGTTTCTGCAGTATTTATTAAAATTACATTTTTTTCTTTGAATTAAAAAAAACCCAACAAAAAAAAAAGAATTTTCTTGTAGTGGGAATGGCCTTTGTGTGGTAGTTCATTAATAATTGTGTGTTTTGGGTGCATAATTGTGCTGGGGTTTGAGTAGGAAAACAGTCTTTTGGGCATTAACATTTTCCACTTTGCTTTGGATTCCTTCTTGGAGCTGTTTCCCAAAAATGCCAGAGGCAGAGGAGCAAAGCAAACACGTGGGGGATGCTTTGCTTTGCCTCTCAAGCCGAATTTTCACATCTTCAAATTGAGATTTCAGGTTGTTCTTTGCCAAAAAAAAAAACCCTCATTCCCAGCTGAGGGCTGTTCCTGGCTGGAGATCCTTGGAATTCTGAGCTGTCCTGGAATTGCTGTGTCCTGTTGGGACACAGAACCTGCAGCTCATCCTCCCATCCCAGGGGCTTCTCCCAGTGTCAGTCCAGGCAGGAAAGCTTGGAATTGTCTCCCTGTGGTGTTCTCAGAATTCCCAGCAGTTCCATCTCTCTCTTCCCTGGGACTGCCCTGATGGTTCTGTGCTGTTCCCAATGACCCAGCAGCTCCATAGGTGCTGTAATTAATGACTGAAGTGTTAATTAGTTATCCCAACTCTCACCATCTGAAGGTGTTTCCATCTGTGCCAGGTTGAGGAGCCCTCGACTGCTGGATTTTATCTCGTGGGTCACTGACCCGAAACTGAGCCAGCAGCAGCAGATCCATTCTTTCCTCCTTGGAATCCCTTTCCATAAGGGATTTTTCCCAATATTTTGGAGGGTTTGTGGCATCTTTATCAGAGCTGCAAACCCCTGGAGCTGGAGGAGCAGTTGGGTCATTCTTTTTTGTCTTCATCCCAACCCAAGCCAGGCTCCTGCTGCTTTTCCTCCCATTTCACATCTTGGAATTCTGCAAACTTGGTTTTGTGGTTCCTCTGCTGTTCCCTGGCTCCTGCTGAGGCTCAGGAATGGAAATGTCTCTTCCTGGTGCCTCCAGTTTTGAGATTCCCCGAAATTTTGTAGGAATTTTGGATGTTTTGTGGCGCTCCTGGGTCGTGCAGTGGTCGCAACTCAGGGTGGATTAGGAAAGAGCTGTTAAAGGACTCTGAAACCCAAATTTAACGTGCTGAAGTTGGGTGTTTGGATGGATATTTTGGGGTCGTGGCTTAAAGCTCCAAGGGTATTTTGGGATTCTGATGGGTTTTGCCTCACGTAGCCTCTCCTAAGGGAGGGATTATTTGCTGAAAATCAAGTAATTATTAATTCTCAGCTCATTTAGTTTCTTCCAAACTCCTTTCTTAAAAGATTTATGAACCTGTTCTTCCAGGGATTCTCCGTCTCATCCCGCTCTTGTGCCAGCCTTCCTGAAAAAGCCATGGAGAGGCTGGAGTTACAACAAATATTGCAAATTTGAAAGCTAAAATAGAGATTGTTGTTGTTGTTGTTAATTTATTTTCCTGCAGCCCCTTCAGCTCCTTCATCTTCCCAGCAGGTCCTAAAGCGTCCAAAATTATTTTGGATCCTGATCCTCAGGATCTGGCACAAGGAATGTTCTGCCAGGTGGTTTTTTTTCATCCTTCCTAAATTGAGTTTGGAGGGTGAGAAATAATCTGAGGAGGAAAGATCTCACCCAGGTTTTCCAAAGGATCAGTGAAGAAGGAATTCCAAGTGAGGAAATGGGTTTTTAACCCTCTGCCCAGCTCGTGGCACAGATTCTGGGATGAGCTCCTAAATCTCATTCCCTTGCTAATTCCTGTGGAATTTGGGGAGGAATTCCCTATTTTCCACTTGTGGAGAAGGGATGGATCCCTTCAGGATGGTTCCTGCTCTGGAGGTGGCACCAACACCGGGATCATTCCCATGGGAACAGCCCTTAAACCAGATTGAACAGAGCCATTCCCTGGTTAAAGCACATTCCTGGGCTCCTTTTCCTGGGAACAGCCCCCTTGGAGCCAGTCCTGAGCCCCCAGGTGCCACTTTGGGATAAAAATTACCATTTCACTCATTTTTATGGCAAAATATAAAATATGGGGGTGGGGAGGCAGCAGTAACCCCCCATGCAGTGTGAATTTCTGAAATGAGGGGGAATTTCGGTGTGTTTGCAATGAAATAATGGTGATCACATTTCATATGATGAAAAAAAAATTAAAATATATTAAATATATAAATATATATATTATTTATTATAAAAATAAAAATGCAAATATATAAAATATATTAAATATAAATTATATCAGTATAAATTATACAGATTATCATGGGAATATGAGTATACTGTAGGAATATATGTGTGATATATGTAGATATAAAAATATATAACTATTACATAAATATAAATTTTATAATATTAATAATATATAAAATATATAAAATATATAGGTGTTGGGGCCTGTGGGTCTTGGCATGTGGCTTCAGGCAGGTTCATGTGGAATTTTGAGGGAAAAACCCAAAGAAAATCTTCACCCCCAGCAAGAGGAGACTCGACTTGAGCAAACACCCAAAGGGAAGGAGCAGAAGGATAAATAAACAACAAGGGCTGGAATTCCAGGGCTGGAATTCCAGGGCTGGAACTGGGAGTGCCTTGGGGTGTCCCAGGGGGGGCAGAGGATGCTGAGTCCAGGTGCTCTGCCATCAAAAACCAGCGGTGACACCCTGAGAGCTGCACCAGTCCCTGTGGGACCTCAGGACTCGGGTGACAGCGAGTCCCAGGGACTGGGAAAAGGGGATGGAGCTACAGGAGAACCTCACCCTACAGGAGAACCTCACTCTGTGCCTCCATGGCCTGATCTGGAGTGCTGGGAATGTGTCCTTCACTTGGGAATGTGTCCCCTTTCTTCAGGAATGTGTCCCTTACTTGGGAACACGTCCCTCACTTGGGAATGTGTCCCCCTTTCTTTGGGAATGTGTCCCTCACTCGGGAATGTGTCCCTCACTCAGGAATGTGTCCCTCTTCCTTGGGAATGTGTCCCTCACTCGGGAATGTGTTCCCTTTCCTCAGGAATGCGCTGATGCCATGGAGCTGCTCCATTTTCCAGAGAACAAAAGCAGATCCTGGCGCTGCCGGGCATTTTCTGCCCCCAAACTCGGGAGCTCCCAAGTCAGGGAGCTGGAGGTGGCTGTGCCGAGTCTCAGGTTACTCCGAGCAGATCCATTAACCTCATCCTGGCTGGAATAGCTGTGAATTGGATCCAGGACTTGCCTTGGAGCAGATGTGACTCATTTCTTTTCTCCCGGTGCTGCTGCCAGGTGCCAGCGCCAGACGGGAGCGGCACATCCGTGATGTGGGAACGGGCACTGCCCTCTGCCCTGCCCTGCCACCCGCTCCTGGCTGGCACCACGGCACGGGTTTGCTGCTCAGGAGGGGTTTGGTGTCCTTTGTCCTGCTGAGGAGGTGTTTGGTGCCCTTTGGCCTCCTCGGGAGGTGTTTTGAGCTCTTTATCCTCCTCAGGAGGTGTTTGGTGCTCTTTGGCCTCCTCAGGAGGAGTTTTGAGCTCTTTGGCCTCCTCAGGAGGTGTTTGGTGCCCTTTGGCCTGCTGAGGAGGTGTTTGGTGCTCCTTGACCTCCTCAGGTGTTTTGAGAGGAGTTTTGAGCTCTTTGGCCTCCTCAGGAGGAGTTTGGTGCTCCTTGTTCTTCTCAGGAAACGTTTGGTGCTCTCTGTCCCGCTCAGGGTGGGTTCTGGTGCCATTTGTTCTGTTTTGGAGATGTTTTGGTGCTCTCTGTCCTTCTCAGAATATGTTTGGTGCTGTTTGTCCTGCTCATTTTCCATAGTCCAGGCATGGATGGATGGATGGAATCCATGGATGGATGGATGGACAGCTCTGCCTCAGGGCTCTGAAAACCCCTTCTCCTGCCCAGAGCAGCTGTGGCTGTCCCTGCATCCCTGGCAGTGTCCCAGGCCAGGCAGGACGGGGCTTGGAGCAGCCTGGGACAGTGGAAGGTGTCCCTGAACGTGGCAGAGGGATGGAATGAGATGAGCTTTAATATTCCAACCCAAACAGTACCAAAATGCCCTTTCTCTGTCACTTCCATTTTTGTAGTTTTGCCCTTCCCTGACAAACCTGGGCTCACCCCCCGAGGAACCCCCTGAGATGTGCTCCTCCATCCAAACCCGGCCACTCTGCCCCTTCCCTGGAGCTGAGGCACATCCCAGCTCCAGGATCCGTTCCTCCGGAGCTGCCAGAGGCAATTCCATCCCGAACCATCACCCCAGGTGCTGCTGTGCCTCTGCGGGGCTTTTGTCTCCTCGCTCCCTTTGTCCCTTCCTCCGTGCTCCCATGGTGACCCCCTGACCCCCGTGCCGGCTGCTCCTCTCCTCTCCTCTCCTCTCCTCTCCTCTCCTCTCCTCTCCTCT